TGATTTTTCAAGATTCACAGATGAATAGAAAGTTCAAAAGAACGGCACTTATTTGAAATAGAGCTCTTTTGTAACGTTAGAAATGTCTTTGTGATCAATGGAATGCACTGTAGTGTCTGTGTTGATTGTAAACTATCACTTTTTATCAATTTAATGCATCCTTTCTTAATAAAAATATAATTTCCTTTTTAAAAAAAAGCTTACTGGCCCCAAACTGTTCAACAGTAGTGTGTATGTACATTAAAAAACACTTAATTTTGATAATAAATCAGAAGTGCATCATCAAAACACGCTTTTTCTTTTTTCCCATAGTGTCGTTAAAGGAAAACTCTATTTGTTTGGAGGTTCCTCACATCCTGAAGCTAAAGAGTGTCTCCCAGGCGTGTGTTGCTTTGACACTGGTGAAACTCTAGACCTTTGATTGTGTAAATGCATGTGACTTTCTGATTAAACTGAACAGTTTGTGTTGATGTGGATTGTCTTGTGCGTCAGTGACGATGACGTGGGAGAAGCTGCTGACTGGAGGAGTGTCTGTGGACTCTGAGACACAGCGCAGCGGCTCTGGGAGAGAAGATCTATGTGTACGGAGGGATCCTGGACGGCGTCACTACAGATGACCTCATGATGTTCAACACCGGTCAGTACTGTGAGGACTTCAGCCGTCTCAGACACTGGACTGCATTATTAGCCGTGTTCAGGGATATTTGTGTTTAAGTTAACAATTCAGAGGCCTCTAAATGATCAAAACGTTGCTAATAAACCTGTCACACTCAATCTACTCCATGCCTTCTGTCTTCTGATTGAAGAGCATGCTCTTTCAGTGTAATTGTAGAAACGTCCAGCTTCAGCTGGAGCTTCTCGTGTATCTGCGGTCAAATCTTGACTGATTTTTATCAAGTAAACGTGAGAATAACTGTAGTAATATTTCCAGATGAACACTTACTGGACTGAAGCAGCTCGGCTTTACTTGATTCTCCATCAATCATATTTTTTTGAAAAATCAGTGCGTCTCAAATCTGATCCTCAGGATCTTTTGAGGAACGTTTGTTTCCAGAAGCTTTACTTTCACTGTTCCTCAGCGGAGGAATGATCTTCACAAGCCTCCAGAACATCTCACATCTTCTGAGGAGTGTTTATTTCTTCAGCTCTCAATCAGCATTGGATTGCATATGTTTGGATCATTTCAATCTCATTGTACTAAGACATATTATTGGAGATATAGAGCGACGACTGATATTTAGATCATTTTATGTAAGTATCTGCTGTACTCTTATAAATATCTCACTGATTACAAGCATAAGATTTTCATAATTTTTCATCGATAAAAATATCAGCATCTGCACCAAATTGCATATTTTTGCTCAGTTTGGGACTCTGAATAAAATTGTAAAAGTGTTTTTCCTCCATATTCTCACTGTATCAGACAATAAAATCCTGATGGATCAAATATGATGAAAACAAAAAACACATATGTTACTTTTTATTTTATATTTTGTCTAAAGGTTCAATAATCTGTTCCTTTTCAAAAAAAAAAAAAATCCAACTATTTTTTTTTTTTACATTTCAAATGTTAAGGCTTTACAGTTTTTAAAGAAATTGATTATGAAAAAATGGAAACTCTGTCATATTTTACTCTCTCGTGTTGTTCCAAACTCAAAAAAATACTAAAAGCAATCCCTATGAAAGTCATAAATCGCATCCAAATTTAAGTCGTTATTCGCTGATAATTGTTTTAATAGTGGTGCTTTTCTTCTTTCAGTGTCGTTGAATTGGATGCCTATTAAAACTACAGAAGCTCTGCCTTCAGCAAGGTCAATACTGATCATTAAACATATAGAAAAACATATAAAAGAGCTTATATTGTAACTTTAGCAGACTGAGTGATTGTTGGAAATGAAGCTGTAATTGTCGGCCATCTGTTCAAAACTGCAGTTTTATCAGTTGTGTTTATTGTGTGGTTTTCCTCATCCAGAGACTCCAGCTCAGCATCTGCTGTCTTCTTCTGCTTCTCTTCTGTAGATGTGCTCACTCATTAGCTGTGGTGGCTGAGCAGATATTCCTGTTCGGTGGATCTGCAGAGGATGGGTCTCAAAGCAAAGAACTCGGGTACAACACTGGGAATACCCGCCGGGATACATTTATTCACATAAGAAAGATTGAGACTGATTTACACAGCTTGAGCGACTGACTGCAATGAACTAGTGAATGTGTTTTCTCATAGAGACTCTGCTGTGGGAACAGTGTAAGATAAAAGGAGAGGATCCTGTTGTGTGTGCCGGTCAAACCTTTACGCCACATCATGACAAGGTAAATGGCCTTTTTTTCCTTTTCTTTTCTTTTTTTCTCTTTTTTTTTTTTTTTTTTGAAAGAAATTAATACTTTTATTCAACAAGGATGCATTGATCTTATCAAAAGTGAGAGTAAAGGCATTTATAATGTTACTACAGATTTAGATTTCTAATAATTGCTGTTCTTTTGAACTTTCTATTCATCAAAGAATCCTGAAAACTCAAATGTGTCTCTACTAGAGTTTGGACTGCAGGGTGTCAGTAATAGGTGTGTCTTTCTCTGACTAAAACACAGTTTTCATTACTAGTTTCACATGAAAGTAATGTTCTGTTATTCAAATCATTTCCACTTGATCAGCTTCACCCCGACAAAGATTCCCAAGGTGAAATACGAGCTGAGTCCATTACAATCAACACAGACACTACACCGCAATACATTGATCACAAGTGACAGTAAAGACATTTATAATGTTACAAAAGATTTCAGTTTCAAATAAATGCTGTTCTTTTGAACCTTCTATTCATCAGAGAATCCTGACAAATAAAAGCATCACGGTTTCCACAAAAATATTGTGCAGAAAAACTGTTTTCAACATTGATAATAATCAGAAATGTTTCTTGAGCAGCAAATCAGCATATTAGAATGATTTCTGAAGATCATGTGACACTGAAGACTGGAGCTGGATAGATTACTTACAAATTGTAATCTGTTACTGATAATTAGTCATGTAATCTAGGTTACTTATTCTTCTACTTTTTAGCTTACTTTTACCTTACTTGTTTTAAACTTGCCATTAAATGTACCACATTTATATAAAAAAGCATTTAAAAAATATATTTCGTTCTTTGATGTCAACATCATGAAATGCATAAAACATTACATTACTCCAGGTTTTTTTTAAATGTTAAAAAAAATTAGGGAAAATCAATAAATTATGATTGATTTACTGCCATTGTGTGAATATTATTCAATCATGTAATCCATAAAAAAGTAAGTATAATCTGATTATGAGTGTCACGAATCCGGTCCATGAACTTTCCTTTTCATTGACTCTCGCACCACACAAACTGTTGCATAGCACCCCGGACTACATTTCCCATCATGCATTACTGATTGCACGAATTGCACACACCTGTTTACACTGATTGCACCCAGCTGTTTCATATCACTCCCTCACTATATAACACTCACTCTTATCCCTTCCCTCTGCCGAGTATTGTTTCAGCGTTTATCACTCTCCTAGAGATAGCTACCTTACGGAGCCCTAGTCATTTGCCTTAGCCTTATTCATTTTTGGAATCTGATTAAGTAATTTTATCCAGATTATATGTTGCTGAAGACTGGAGTAATGATGCTGAAAATTCAGCTTAGATCACATAAATAAATTACATTTTAACATATATTTACATAGAAAACACTTATTTTAAATTATAATAATATTTCAGAATTTTACTGTATATTTGATCAAATAAATGAAGCCCTGGAGAGCATAAGAGACTTCTTTCAAAAACATTTAAAGGGGTCATATGTTGCGATTTCAATAGTTTCTTTCTCTTTGGAGTGTTACAAGCTCTTGGTGCATAAAGAAGATCTGTAAAGTTGCAAAGACTAAAGTCTCAAATCCAAAGAGATATTCTTTATAAAAGTTAAGAGTCAGCCACGCCCCCCTAAAACACCTCGTTCTAACACGCCCCCACATATCTACATCACTATGTGGGAAGATTTGCATAACGCCGCCCAAATGTTCACGCAAAGAAAGAAGGCGTAACTTTTATTCTCGCTGTAGTATTGTTGCTGCCGCCGCCATGTCGTGAAGGTGCTGTGTGATTCGTTGTGAAAGCGAAACTACTTTGTTTGGTCTTCCAAAAGAGGACGATATCCGCTTCGTCATGCCTGGAGCTGATCCGTGCTGGTCGCTGAGGAAATACATCAACTTCACGCTGTGGATCGCCGGATCGGCTTTCACCGTGGATGAAGCGGAGTCCAGCCCGGGGTCGTCACATGTGGTTGCCGCAAGCCTCCTTCGTCGAATCCACCGGCCGCCGCTCACTCAAGCAGCTGTGTGTAACGCTGTGAAAGCGAAAGTACTTTGTTTGGTCTTCCAAAAGAGGACACATCTAGAAATCAGTGGTTAAGTTGGATTTACAACACTGTTCCAGAACACTTCAACCCAAATATTCAGATGTGTGCAGCACATTTTATGGAGGACCATTTCCTGATCCTGGTTATTTTATATATGTATATATATATATATATATATACAAACCGTATATGACAATTTTTACGAAAATGTATTACATAGGCCTAATAAATTGATAATATTCAAACCTTATACAGTCAATTCAAAATATAAATAATATAAATAATTAATAATTATATGTTTCATTTTATCTGATGTTGTCATCTTAATGTTCTTATTTCATGCTTTTTAAGATCTCTTACAAAAGACAAAAATAAAAAGCAAAAAGCAGAAATCCTGCTGAAAATGTATGAAAATTAAAATCATAAAATCGACAAAAGTAAATCTTAATAACAAATCTTAAGAAACATCTTGATACGTAATATTTCATAATACATAATATGTACCTATTTTGAGTGAATATTTCATTATTATTTAAGTCAAAAAATAATAAAACTACACAGCCCTTTATGCTATATAAAACAGATTGCGAAGGCTATTGGTGAATTCATAAACTAATTTGCATGTAAAGTATAGCACTGTCCAGCCCATCAAATTACAGACTTTATTGTCTATTGTCAGTGGGTTTTTGAAGGGGACAGTCATGTCCCAACTCCTGTCGCAGTGCTTGCGCATGCGCACACATCCTCGCCCAGCCGCGCCGAACGCGGCCGAAGAAAGCCGATGCGAAACGGTCGGCGGCGCACTATTTGGCAGGAAGGCTTCGCGCACGGCGCCAGGCAGCGGAGCACTATATGGCAGCGGAGGAGGGGAGGGCTAGAGCTCGGCCGCATTCGGGGCCGCCTGCGCTCATCAAACGCTGCTCATTGAACACACAGTGAGGCAGAGCTGGAGTGGAAATATTTTTTATGCCGCAATATGCGTGAATTTCTAAAATAAACCCGGGGTAAGCGAGCATCCATGCCACATTTATGCAGTGCACTTGAATAAAAAAGCGAAATGCGACAAGATTGAGCTCAAAGCTGCAGTGGAGGGAGTGAAGGGGGTTTTGGGGCGACGCTTGATCCAGACGTTTCTGTTGAAAATGTGTTTCTTGTGCTTCCTTTGTTTCTGCTGCGGGATTGTAAATAAGAGCTTGAGCCAAAATGGCGGCCGGAGCCGTTGAGCTGCGTCGAGCTAGGAGCTATTGCACTGCGTTTAGCCACACGCTTTTATCACTTAACGCTCTTTTATGGCTTTCTTTCCCCTTTTGGATGATTTGTATGCAGTCGTAGCATTTAGGATAAGATACCTGGCCGCGTTGGAGGTGAATATGTGGCGTTTAATGAACAAAGTTAGCGAGATGGAGTCAGCTAGCCAGACAGATTTGAATGTTTCTAATGACAAATTGAGATTTTGTGTTCACAAAACGCGCACTTATTGCTCTTTTCTGTCTTGTGTCGATCGTTAAATGGCCTGTATGCAATGTAATGCTTTCTTTGGTCCTCCATGTTAGCTGGTAATGTTATCTCTCTCTGTAATTCTTCAAAAAGGATGCTTTTGTACACATACATGCTGTTATTCATGTGTGTAAATGTGGTCGTTTTCATCAAAACTAGACAACTTGCAGTGCTGCTTGTCATCTTGCCTGTTAATGGCATCCCTGAAACCCAATCTGGCCAACTGGTCTCACTGCATTGAAGGATCTGGCCAATTTGAAATGTAAGGTCTTGAATGCATTAGTCTCATCTGATGCTCAGTGGTCAGGTTGCATTGAGAAAGTCTGCTGAATTTCCATGAGGAACAACACATGAATCATTCTGGGGGTTTGTTTGGAAGGGGGCGGTGGTTCATTTGTATTTCATGAGTCTGCTGAAGAGTTTTGTAGGGCACCTCTGGAGGATTCATTGATCAATTAGGCTTGTAAATGAGAGATTACAGCAGAGAAACAGCCACTGCGGTGGGCTTAAACCTTTTTTTTAGCTTCTGAATTGTACTATTTTTGTGGACCAACCACTCCAAATAAAGCGAAACACAATCATATATACGTAAATGTGTAATGCATGCATAATTTTATTTGTATATCTTGTTACATGGCTCTAAAACTATCATTTTCCTTTTGTATCCTTTCCTTGGTTTCGATTGGTCAGTCCCACCACGTTATGGATACTGTTCAATAACTGCATTTTTCTGCATCATTGAGCTGGCTTTAATTGCATCCAGCATTGTCAGACACTGTCATTATAGCAGCCACTGGCCAGCATTTGATACAGCTCAGTACTTTTGCCTCTACAGCCAAAATATATTAGATTCTCATACGCTGGAAAATGCATTTATTGCATATACAGAATTGCTCCATCATCCATGCGCAGGACTTTAACACAACACCATCGAGTTCAGTTATAGCCACGATTTTGCTCAGCGTTGGAGATCCATTATCATGAGTGTGGGTTTATGTAAAGTGTAGTTAACTTCAGCCACAATATATTAGCCAGGGAACAGTGTAGGCCAGACCTGTCAAGAACATGTCTGGGTCTAGTTTCACCTCAGGAAATAAGAAATGTTTTGCTTAAAGAAAATTATTGCAGTTTTATCCTAGATTTTAATGTGAGAAAACAGAACATATGTAGCGTATTTGTGCATTATGATGGTATTTGTGTTGCCTTTAATTGATGTTGCATTGAAGTAAAACAATGTAATTTTAGCAGAAATACTGTAATTTAGTTTAAGAACCTAAAGAGAACCACCAAACACATGTCTTTGTGTTTTTGTCAATTTCACCCAATGTTATGAAAAATATAACAGCAGAAACTGAAATAAGAGTTGGTTTGAAAGGTGCATGAGGGAGATTTTAAATATATTGAGGACAAAACATTGCAAAAATACTCGGGTCAAGTGTCTTAATAACTTTGGCATCATCTCAACATCTTTATCTAAAAGTAACATGGCAGGATGCCTTAAAGGAGGACTGACCTTGAGTTCATGTTCCTGTCTAGCTTGTTATTTTCGTGGCAGTTACAGACTGTAAAATTGAAAATGGAAGTAGTAGTATTTGAGTCCTGCTGTGTTGGAAAATAACAATAAATGCATGTTCTGGTGTATTTTTATGCATTTTACACATTTGTAAAAAAAAATATATATATATATATTGAGGTTGGATTGCACTAGATCGTGTTCATGTGCAATGGACTGTTTTATAAAACATGTTGTGGTTTTGATTCAATTGGACGGTCTGGTAGAATAAATGAGTTTGCTGACGTGGTGTAAGGAAGCCCTGAGCTCCCTGTGCTTGTAGCGTACTCCTGTTGTGTTGTATAACGGCGTCTGCTTGGCTTCCTGAATAATGCAAGTCTCATGTCATGGCTCATCTGCTCCGCTTTCTTTGGTATTTTGAGTTTTGGGATGTCAGATGGGTGCCATTTTTACTGAATGCCGATTTTCAAAGCATGAACCTTTACATGGGGTTGAAATTAGAGCCCGACCGATATATCGTTTTGCCAATATGAGCCTGTTGCCGATATATCGGTATCGGCGAATATGCCGTGGATATGAAAATTTTTTTTACAGAACATATAACGCAGATAAAATGCTTGAAATGGTGTAATTACTTAGTTTGTCCAGCAGAGCGCACGCCATTGTTTGCTACTGGTGACCTGGATTAAACGCTTTAAAGCTTAAGTCTATGGAAAACCATTGAAACGGCCATATCTCCGTAAAAGCGTGGCAAATCTGCACCAAATTCGGGGGATCCCTTCAGCTCGCGGAACCCTCTCGAACGTGAATCGAGTGTATGCCTAGAGGTCTGGTTAAATTTGCGGTCCGGCGCTGACCGATCAAGCGATCCCGGGGGGCTACCGATGCACAGAGGGTGGTGTTCGAGACGGCTCCTCGAGCTGAAGGGATCTCCCGAATTTGGTGGAGATCCGCCGACGCTTTCGCAAGATAGTGACACCAGTCAACACTTTCACTTCAGTAAGGAGGTTTCAACTTTTCAAGGATTAAGTTATTGTCTGAAATATATTTCGCAGTAATAGTTCATCCAAAAATGAACATTCTGTCATTGTTTACTCACCCTCATGTCGTTCCAAACCTGAATGACTTACTTTGTTCTGTGGAACATAAAATAATATATTTTGAAGAATGTTGGCAAGCAAAGAGTTTCGTTTTCCATTGATTCCTCAACTTTAAATCACATTTAATGTGGAGCATCTTCACTCTCCTTCAATTAATATGTGACCGTTTACATACCCAGAGCGTTTTCTAAACGTTTAAGCTGACGTTCCTGTATTTATTTAGGTTGCTGGAGCCCTTCTGAGGGAGGTCTGGATCAGTACCCATCTGCGCGGGCCCTGAGAGGGCGACCCGTCAGACGGGCATCGGGCGAGCACGTTACATGCCAGCGTTTCTTCTTTTATTTTGACTGCCCCCTTTAGGCTGAATCCCTTCTCCCCTGATACTCTTTCATTCATCAGAAAGAGTAGAGGATATTTTGACCCTAGTGCGGCAGCCGGGCTGCTCCCCCACACACAGATGAATGAAGACCCCATTCGGGAAGAACGCGGCCCAGAGATCCAGAGCTGATGCAGGTCAGAGCGGCGCTTTGATTTCTGAAGATCATTGTCTGAAATGTCTTTTTAATAATAACATGTTTGCTGTGTCTGTGATTAAAGGGCATGCTGGTGTCTCTGCAAATATGATGAAGAAAAAGAATTCTCATAAGTAAGTTTTCTTTTGATTGTGTTTTAGGGCTGAATGTGGGAATCTTAATTATTTTACATTATATTATGCTCATGTTGATAATATAGCAATGAATTTAAAGGGGTCATGGGAAGCAAAATTCACTTTTACATGTTAGCAAGTTTCACGATGAATGCGGCTAAAGTTTACCATCTCTCAGAGCGGCTGCTCACCCCACTGAAGAGAGGGGCGGGTCAGCAGAGCTCATTAGCATTTGAATCTTAATTATTTTACATTATATTATGCTCATGTTGATAATATAGCAATGAATTTAAAGGGGTCATGGGAAGCAAAATTCACTTTTACATGTTAGCAAGTTTCACGATGAATGCGGCTAAAGTTTACCATCTCTCAGAGCGGCTGCTCACCCCACTGAAGAGAGGGGCGGGGTCAGCAGAGCTCATTAGCATTTAAAGAGACATGCACTGAAACAGCTTGCTGTGCTTTGACGGTAAAAAGGGTGTTGGTTTACACTACCATTGAGAAATTTTAACCAAAGTATGTTATAGACTTCATTAAGACCCTAAAGAATCATATCAGCCTGTGGAAAATGGGCATCTGATGACCCCTTTAATAATAATTTTATTTTCTTTTTTTAGTGTGTGAATTATATTATATATTATTAATATTTTTAAAAAGCTACACTCATAGCAATCATAATAATTATTTATGCATTTAATATGTTTAATTTTTAGAGTTGAATATTAAGTAAAGCTTTTTTGTGTGTGTGTGTTTTAGGGCTGAATGTGTGAATGTGAATTTAATTATAATATATTACATTATATTAATATTATAAAATGTTTTTTTCATATTGATCGTAATATATTCAGTAAATAAATAAATTCAATAAATAACACTTCTGAACCATAGTTAAATTTTAAGATGATGTGTGTTTTTTATGTGATTGTGTATTGAACAGTTAAATATTAGGTAAAGCGCTTTTTTATGTTGCTTGTGTTTTATGACTGAGTGTATAAATATTAATTATATTACATTTTTAAAAATGTTTTGTCCATATTGATCATAAATTACAAATCGGAATTTATTATTATTTTTTTTATTTATTATTAACAGAGTTGAATTTTAGGTGAAATATATTTCTGTATTTAATTTGTGTAGCAGGATTGAACACTCGAATACGATACATTTAATTATTATAATATATTCATATTTTTAAAATGTTTCATTCATATTTATTGTAATAAATATGTATGTATTTAATGATAATCATTTTCAGAGTTTTGTAGATGCTTTTGTTTTAGAGCTGAATGTATAAATATGAATTTAGATTGTTAATGTTTAGTTAAATTTCAGAATTTATTAATTTATCATTATCAGAGTTAAATATTAGGTGAAGTATATTTTTTATTTGATTGTGTATTGGATTGAACACTTGAACATGAATTGTTATTAGATATTCATATTTTTAAAACGTCATTGGAATAAATATTAACTATTAGGTTAATTGATTTGCTTGTTAAATTTTTTTATACTATATTAGTATTATTTTAATATTTTTTTTAATTAACCGCATATTGATTATAATATCTTTTTTTTTTTTTTAATAGACATTATAATTAGTCATTTATAATGTTGAATGTTAGTTGAAGCATAAAATTGATTCAAGATTAAAGCTGAAGTGTGCAATTATTTAGTTAGTTTATTATTTTAAATGTTCAAATATTTTCTCTTTGTTTAGGACGAGATCTGTACGACTATCCCAACCAGTACCATACGGATGAAGTGTTGTTTTTTTGTTGTTGTTGAAATAATGCCCTTCACCTTGAAACTGATTCAGAATTCAGCGTCTGGGGAATGTAAATGCTCTAATTTGCTAATGTTGATGATCTGACAGGAAACACAAAAGCAGCGTAGGCCCCACCAAAGCAGTGGCTCAGCCGCGGAGGAACATCGTGGGCTGTCGTATCCAGCACATCTGGAAGGAGGGCAGCGGCGCGGCGTCGCAGTGGAAAGGCACCGTTTTAGACCAGGTGCCTGTCAACCCCTCGCTCTACCTGATCAAATACGACGGCTTCGACTGCGTCTACGGCCTGGAGCTGCATAAAGACGAGAGGGTGCAGGGACTCGAGGTCCTGCCAGACAGACTCGGTACCCGCTTTACTTCATTCATTGACAGCAGACATAGAAAGAAGAGTGCAAACCAGTTTAATTGAGCTGCATCATTAGTGACTGTTAGTGCAGCAATGAGCAGAAAAGACATTTTATTATTCTATTATATTAATATTTTTAAAATGTTGCTTATAATAAACATAACATCTATGAATTGGGCTGAATGTGTGAATATGCATTCAATTATTTTTATTAGTATTTGTAGTTTTGTATTCATATTTTAACTGTTGCACTCATATTGCTCATAACATAACATTTATGCATTTAATAATTATATTTTTCTGAGGGGGGCTGAATGTGTAAATATGAATACAATTTTTATTTGTAGTAGTAGTTAGGGCTGTCAAAATGGTTTAAAAACTAAATTCGAGTTTTGTACTTCCGAATTATAATTTTTATATAATTATAATTTTAAGCTTTTAGCTTCTCTCCGGAGGCTACAAGAGAGGGCGTATCGAGCAAAATATTACTAATGACCGTTTATTCAAAGCAATAAAATAGCACGACTATCTTTGAAAAGAGTGCATAATGTTTATAAACCATGTTTAATTAAGTTGCTTAAACAATTAGAAACAAAACAGCATCATGTATGTATGTATAATTTAATACAAAGCACCGAAAGCCAATCACAAAGACTACTTGTTCATTTAAAAACATGAGATGCAGTGGGATGGGGAAAACCGCCATGAAGTCTTGAGACGTGTTTTTTTAAAAGTTGAACTTGCATTAATTTTACATGGCTTTCTAAACACGCTACTCTTTTGTGCGAGACGCGAGTGCAACGCTGATAGATGTCCCTCTAGAAAATGCGATAAATATGCGTTCTGTGTGAATGGCTTAGTTTCAGTTTTGACGTAAACATCTTCTCCGCATTAATGTTCTCTTTTCCCGCAATATTTTGAATGAACAACGTAGCAGCACTGCATCTAGTGGCTTTAACTGGATAGGCTAACAAAAACATTATAATGCAACGACACTTACATCGTCATTGCACTTGTGTGCCACTGATAAGGCTGCCTCCATAACTCACAGCTAAAATTCAAATGCAACGTTTTTGCATTCGAATGTGGAATTTTATTTTAAATTCAACTAATATTCAAAAAAAAAATTTGACCGCCCTAGTAGTAGTTGTAATATTGTATAAATATTTTTTAAATGGTGCACTCATATTGCTCATGCTTTATTACATTTATAAATTTAATAATGATAATTTTCAGTTTGGGCTGAATGTGTGAATATGAATATTATTATTATTATTGTATTCATATTTAAAATGTTGCACTCATTGAATTAATTTAATAATTATAATTTTCAGAGTTAAATATTAGGTGAAGCGTAATTTTTCTGCTTGTGTTTTAGGACTGAATGTGTGAATATACATTTTAAATTGTATTAATATTTGTAAATTGTTGCAATCATTGCTCAATAAATATAACATTTATGAGTTAATATTAGGTGAAGCATATTTTTTGCTTGTATTTTAGAGCTGACTGAATATTAATATTGCCCATAGTATTTAATAATTATAATTTTCAGAGTTAAATATTAGGTTAGGTAGTAATTATTCATATTTTTCAAATGTTGCACTCCTGTTGATCATAATAAATATTCTTTAACACAAGCAATTAAAAATGTCCTTCATCTAATATTAAACTCTGATTCGTCATCAAACAAGCTCTTCTGGAATTGTTGAATCTGTTCAATTAAATATATTGTGTTGAATTGTAAACAATGTAAACTGGATTCTCTAAATCAGCACTAAAGCTCAATATATCTGAAGCATCTCTGACGGACTTCTGTGAACTTGCTCCTTTTAGACTTGCACTCTATTCATTTATTAACTGCTTGTTTTCTTTAAAAAAAAAAAAAAAAAAAACTAACTAGCTTCTCTATTCTTTTTGTATTCTATCTATTTGTTTTCTTTTTATTTATTGTACAATTAACAAAAGCAAAAAAAAGGCCTCTAACACTAGCTTGCTCTATTCTTTTTCTATTCTATGTCTTTTTATTTATAATATAATAAAAAAAAGACCTTGCTACATGTACTGTTAAGCCAACAGACTTGTTTTAGCACTTGCGTATCATTGCTCTTTTGTTGATTTTGATTGCTTCCATTGTCCGCATTTGTAAGTCACTTTGGATAAAAGCGTCTGCTAAATGTAAATGAGTTTTCTTCGTGCACAGCTATAAATCTTAAATCAGGAGTGAATTATTGGACTCAGATTTCCCGCTGTGGATGATGTTTCCGGTCCTGCCGCTCACACTCATGTTGTCTCGTGTGTTTTTCAGCCACGACGCGCATCAGCGATGCTCACCTGGCCGACACCATGATCGGCAAAGCCGTGGAGCACATGTTCGAGACGGAGGACGGCACTAAGAACGAGTGGAGGGGAATGGTTCTGGCTCGGGCGCCCATCATGAACACGTGGTTCTACATCACGTACGAGAAAGACCCGGTGCTCTACATGTATCAGCTGCTCGATGACTATAAAGACGGAGATCTGAGGATCATGCCAGACTCCAGTGAGTGTCTTCAGTGCTCGTGTTGAAATAATGGGTTTAAATGCTATCTGCTCTTTCAGGGCAAAGTCAGGGGTGGGAAAACTTTTTGACTCGAGGGTAGGGTTGTGACGGTGGGGAAATTTTCCCACCGGTTAATCAACGTGTGACAAAACCGGTAATACCGGTATCGGCGGGGGCATTTCCTCTTTTCCTCCGCTTTTAAATAGCTTGTAAAAGCGGTGTGTGCATTTTAATTTCACTTTCAAATAGCGGCAATTCGGAGTAAAGCAATTGTTCGCTTTTAGTTCGTTTGAATTTTCCATCTTTCCCTCGCTTTCCTTTGCTTTTAAATAGCTTAAAAGCGCCGTGCGCATTTTACTTTCACTTTTGAGTTAGCCGTCAATTGCTTGAATGCAACAACAAAATACAACGTTAAACTCATTTTAGCGTATATATATAAAACATAGAACTTTTATTAACAAATAAAAATACACCATGCTATAGGGCAGGCTATGCCTAATATAAAATAACAAATAACTTACATAAAGTTTAAATGTACAAAACCGGAAACAAGTAAACATGTATAATATATACCAATTAAATAAGAAACTAATGTTTAAAAAAAAAAAAAAAAACTTCCAAAATCTCCTTAGATAAACGGCAAAAGTCAACAGGCTTTTCAAAATCCAAAATACTGCCGAACAGGCGCTTTTGCGTTTCGTTTCGAAACTAAATCATCCGCGATCGTCTTGTCTGTCTCACCTCACTCTTCTTGTCAGTCAGCTGGACTCACTCTCCTCACTGGAGAGATGAAATCTGATCTGTGATGCGACTGTCGTTCAACTGCATTGAGCAGCCGCGTTCAGTTATTAATTGTAGTGTCTGTTCTTTTACTGAACTAAATGATTTTTATTACTATAAAAAAATCTAAACGACAGTGGAGGTCGGTGCCGCGGTGGGCAAGTGACGTAACCGGTGTTGCGGCTTAACACCGGTATCACCGTCAGCACCGTCTATCACGGCAAGCCTACTCGAGGGCCACATCAAGTTTTCCACACCAAGTGAGGGGCCGCGTAATGTGTATGACAAATGAAGCTTTGATTTTTAGACACATTTTATCATTTAATTTATAAATAATGTCAAATAAACGAAACGTTCACAAACATGTATTTATATTCCCCTCACTAAATGAAGCAGTGTTCAGAACAGAAAAAGAAACGAAAATATAAGTAAAAAACAAACACAAATTATAGTGGCATTCACTGTGCAAATTTACTATAAACGCCCAGCCTAAATATTTAAAGCGAAACTGAAACTAGCGGCATGGTTGCTGGAAAATGCGCAATACAAACGCGCTTGCCTTTCTCATTTGTCACCAATCCAAATGTCTGTCGCTTTGCGCTTGACCTGATTGCTTTAATAAGTCGCCTTGGAAATCGCAGCACGTTTCAGATGATAAAAAACATGATTTATAATCCAGAAGATAACTATATACATTTTCATAAAAATATGTGTGGAAAACGTAATCTTTGCAAAATAAAACGACAAATTATTTCCATTTTATTCCCACAAAATGACAGTGCCCGTGAGCAGGAGGAAAACACTTGCATTAGTTCTCCTACTGTAAAGTCTACAGACCATTTTAAAGGGTTAGTTCACTAATTGGGTGATCTAACCCTTTAAGCATTTTTAAAACCGTAGGCTACCAATGCGAGGCATTTCTTTTAAAACAAATGAACACTTTCACATTTTTAAAACAAGTAACTATTTACAATTGTGCCAGTTTTGCACAGGGTGTATATTTAGATTTTTTTTATTTTGTATTTGAGCTGTGCGGCTTGGACGCGGCATCCGTCAAAAATAGACTAGGCGCCTATCTTTAGCGAAGCAGCGCAGAGAGCCGCTTCTGGGCCGCTTCAGAAACGTGCCGCAGTGCAACTAGTTTAAACACAAGCATTGACTGGAGTGGCCTCGATCAGCTCCAGTGGCTGCGTCGGAGCGGCGTGACTGAGTAAATCAGGGGTTATATACCGCGCTACAGCGCCATATATTGGATTTTACTGACATGGCATCAAATTAGCCATTTTGGAGCAACTGGTTCACAAACTGGATGAAAACTCCCGGCGGGCCGTAGTTTGCCCACCTAAAGTGGACTGTTAGAAGCAGTGATAGACCAATATAGGTTTTCATTATTTGAATGCTCTTTTTGTCAGCCAGGAGGTATTAAATGGATCACAAGTGACAGTAAAGACATTTATAATGTTACAAAAGATTTCTATTTCAAATAAATGCTGTTCTTTTGAACTTTCTATTCATCAAAGAATCCTGACAAATAAAATGTATCCGAGTTTCCACAAAAATATTTGGCAGCACAACCGTTTTCAACATTTATAAGAATCCGAAATGTTTTCTTGAGCAGCAAGTCAGCATATTGGAATTATTTCATAATAGTATCCAATAGTCGCAGCTGATGAATGGAAAAGAAGCCTGGGTCTCGAGCGCGACACATTGAAAAAGCTGCGAGGTGCAATGGTCAAAGATTTCCATCTAGCGTCATATTTACATAGAAAAGCTATTAAAAAAGCAGAGGTCCTGTATGATCTCTTAACGGTAATTTACCAGTGAAGACTGTGTGTGTGTGAAAGGGGCTAAACTCTTCCTCTGCATATGCGCTGAGTGTTGCTTAACGTTCATCTGGGAAAACTCACTTGATTTGTAACGTAAAATATTTAAACCTATGCCAACACAGGAGAGAATACGTAACACATTTCTAAATATGCGATTTATTGTACATCACGATTTCAAAATAAGAATTGTTTGACATTGTAATGGAAGCTTGTTTGCACCAAGGGGTTATTGCAACTTTCTATCTTAGAATTTAGTCTTTTCTCTAACAATACTTCAAATAAAAAAATATAGCTTTTAATTTTGAGTTTATATTTAGCAATTTTGGCTAGAATAGCAAGAGAAAAAAAGACAGAATAGTGCGATTAAAATGTCACCGCTACCATCCCTCGTCAGGAGCAAGCCTTCACAACATTTAACAGAATTCACAAAAACTCAATTTAAAACTGAGATTATTTATTTTCAGTGTGTTATGGGATGTACAGTTAAATGAGTCGTTTTTATCATTCAAAGAGTCATGTCTGTCTCTACTAATGATGGTTCGCGTGTGTTTCAGACGACTCGCCCCCGGCGGAGCGTGAGCCTGGAGAGGTAGTGGACAGCCTCGTGGGGAAGCAGGTGGAATACGCCAAAGAGGACGGCTCTAAACGAACTGGCATGGTTATCCATCAGGTGGAGGCCAAGCCCTCCGTCTACTTCATCAAGTTTGATGACGACTTTCACATTTACGTCTATGACCTGGTGAAAACCTCGTAAGGCGCAGCACGGGACGAGGAGAGGGGGAGGGGTTTCACGTAACCATGTGATCCACACAAACGTTTTTTTGCCAAAAGTTCTCTCGGAACATTTCTCGTAACATCTTTTGGAAATGGAACGCTGGATATTTCGGTGGATTACCGCTAGTCAAGTGTCTCTTATCGCTGTAGGATGAACGGACATCACATCCCCCGACATACACGTAGCTTCACATTTCAGAGGTTCGTCTCGAGCATTTCCCATTCCTGTTGGTTGTTATGAAGATGTTCGTCGGGAAAATCCTGTCTGATTGCTCTGGGACGTTAAAGTGTTCATCTGTTGGACTGTTACAGCTCCATCTTGGGTTAAAAATTCAAGCTAGCGGCGTGCGCCGATCCTGGGGAAACGGTGAAAATGAAACGCGCGAGGCGTTTATCCTTTCAGACGTGAGAAACGCGGCGGTCCGTGAAGAATGGGGAGCGTTCGGGACGTCCTAAACCTCGTAAAAGTGCCAGGAGGTGGGGGGCGGTAAAAAATAAGACATCGTTCTGTCCTTGATGTCTTTGAGTCGGTTGCCAGATGTTTCTTGTTTTATCCCTCCGTCTTCTGGTTCTCGCTAGAATTGTGCACACGAGTCTGCTGTCAATGAAACCCTACCGTTTTGTTTTTATGCATTTTGATTTCTTCGTTTATTTGATTCTATATATATATATATATATATATATATATATATATATATATATATATATATATATATCTTTACCATGAGTAAACTCTAGAAACCCTACCGTTTTGTTTTTATGCATTTTGATTTCTTCGTTTATTTGATTCTATATATATATATATATATATATATATATATATATATATGTATCATTACCATGAGTAAACTCTAATACAGCTTTTATTATTTTAAGCACTAAATTTAGAGAGTTGTTTTGCTCCCCTGTTTGTTTTCAATGAATGAAAAATGTTTTTGCATTTCATATTTGGAACGTTGATTTAACATTGATCTAAAGTTTATTTCACTTAAATTACTTAATGGGCTTCTTAAAATTTACAAAATGCCCACTAATTGTATCATATTGCATAGTGTGGACATTTTCTCTTGGTGTAGATTAATGGGTTTATTGTGTCTTAGCACATGATTTTGACTCTTTAGCACTAAAAATCATACGGTTACCCAGTGCCCCGAAGTATTTAGAGATGTTACACAATACTAATCGCACAAAGTGTTTAATCCCGTACCGGTTAGAAAACGCTGATGCAATAACGAAGAAAGTATTCAGGAATTTCTTTGCACCTCGTGACTTCTGCGTTGTTTTTCTTTCATCAGCCTTTGGGAGATTTCTCTGTCGCTTTGCCTCTGCGAGCCTAAACGTCTGTGCCTCGATATTGACTTCACTGTTTTATTTTTTTTACGTGTGTGTTTTGTCTGAAGGTTTGTGTGTTCCCATTAGACTTGTACGAAACGAGCCGAAGGCCCCCTCCGAGGAATGTTACGTTGTTTGATGAAGTCCTCGCAGATACATGTGTTTTGCATTATTTTGTGCTGCTTTCGGTCACAGCGTTCCTGTTTTCACACTTACATGAAGCGTTTCTCTTGTTCTCAAGCCGCTGTCTACTGCATTCGATGCACAACACTAGAAGGGCGACACGAAGAAATGCACAGGTCAGATTTCACTCCAAAATCAAATTTAAAAATTAGGCATTGTATGTTGGAAATAAAAAAAGCATTTCTTTCCAAGACATTTAAGCACATTTTTCTTCAAATTGTCATTGCCTAATGCAAAAATACATTAGTGCAAAGCAACATGTACTACAGTAAAAATCCTGTCCAGGCACGCATTTTTATTAATCACCATAAATCTAAATCTTTCTATAATAAGTTAATGCGTTATTTTACTTATATTTTTTGACATTACAGTAATGACAATTGGGAGTTTAAACATGTTAATTGGCTAATAAATGGCAGTAAAAATGTGTAATATGTGTTAACTATCATGAATACAAGGCTATATATATATATATATATTAGTTGTCATGCAAAATACTTTAAAAGTGGCATGATAAAAATATAAATGATTTTTCATGACGGTTAACAAATATTTTGACATTTTCATTATTAATTAAAAATGCAAAAATAAACATATTTTAAATTGTTTTTGACTATTACCACAAAATATTATGCATATTTATTTTGACATTTTCATATACACAACTGTTAATTATAAACAATTTTAAAAAAGCTTTAAAAATGATAGACGTTTAAGACACGCGTATGAAATTATATATATATATATATATAATGAAAATCTTGAAACACATTATATGCATACACTTTTTCTTATGATTTTGGGGTGAAATGTGAGCTGGACATTTCCCGATGCTTTTTTCATAAGCTTCACCCAGCAAAGTGTGTAAAGATATTCGTGATTCTCAATGTTTTGCCCTTGAAACCTTAATGCGGGCGACCCGCTCGGCCTACCAAATAAAGCAGCGGCCCAAACGCAGAGGTCAAGCTTCGTCCCGGGACCGTTGATCTACTTCTCCTTTCCAAACGAGAGCTAGGTGACTTTTGCGAGGCGGCCACATGAGCTCACCGTCGCTAGAGTCGTGTCTCATCCAGTGGACAACGGACGTGTCAATATGCAAACGGATCCCCTCAGAAAGACATACTCATGGGATTGGCCTTTTACATGTACCTACTGTAGTATTGTACTGTGTTTTGATGTCGGATCGACGTGGGACATTTCAAAAAGATAAAAAAGCGACGAAAACTAGACCGTTCTTTTTGCATGATACGAGTAGAGTTGTTATCGTACGTTAGTGTGATGCATGTGTACCTGTCTTTTTATTTCGGCTGTTCGTTCCCTAAATGAAAGTTTCTGTTTATTGTGTTGCTAATTGTGACGTTTCGGTTCTGGTTTTTGAATCCATTTCTAAGTAAAAACAAACGTTAAACTAAGTATTTTCTTTTCTGCTATGCTCTATAAGAACAAACGCACTGGTGTTGTGTGGCGTGCCAATCCAAGGCAAGAAACCAGTGTTAAAAACAGCATTTGAGGGATCATATCCTTTTGACACAGTTCTGCTACAGGACAAACTTACTACGTTTCTATGAAGAGTGCCATATTTAACGAAGAAACAGGCCTTACGCGATGAAATCGGGACGAAATCACATATGTTGAGCGGGATAATGTGTGCGTGTATTGAATATCGCATATCTAATTCAAGCGTGTAGATATAGAATTAACTTTAAACTACGTGGAGAGAATTGAACGTATGGTCCCTTTAAGATGCTGTTGCTCTTTAATTACTTTGTATAAAAAAAGAGAAAAGATGACAAAAATGCAGTGCAATTTGATGATTGTTGCAGATACATGTATAGTTCAGATTTCATGTTCTTTCACGTTTAGGTAAATGGCTTCTATTGGACCGAATCTGTTTTTTTTTTTTTTTTTTAACATGTAGATAGTTCATTTTATTTTCATTTAAGTATAAACGCATTTTAAAATCTGTTACTTAATTCATTAAGTAATTTTTATAATTCTTATGTAAGTCTATCCTTATAAGATTAAAAAAAAGTTAATGTGAATGTGTGTCTGAATCTTTATCCGAATGACTGCCTCTTTATGCCGAAAAATCTGAAAAAGTATTCAAGCTAAATTTAACACATAAATTGAATTTTATTAAATAATATTATAAAAATAAATAAGAAAAACTTTTAAAAAGTACAATTTAAATTGAGTTTTGCGCCTCAATTTTTACATTTTAAAGGGGTCATATGATGCTTTTTTTAAAGCTCATTATTTTGTGTATTTGGTGTAACAATATGTTGACGTGCTTTAATGTTCAAAAAACACATTATTTTTCAAATACTGTACATTATTGTAGGTCCTCTATGCCCCGCCTCTCTCAAACGCTTCGTTTTCTACAAAGTCCCTCCTTCTGACAAGCGCAGTCTGCTCTGATTGGGGATAAATCCACAGAAGACATGGTGGAGTATTATCATGACATGCATGGGGACTGGCTGGCTCTGCCCTGGATGGATCCCTACAAGCAGTGAGTTGCATTGCGTTTGGATGCATGCATGAGTTCTTGTGCATCTGCCACAGTAACCTTTCATTACAGCTTTCAGTCTGTCCCTGATAAGAGGTTTAACACACACACACACACACAGTTGGAGGATTATGTTATAAATAGACAGTCTGTGTATTTTCACTGCACTTGTGTGCCATGTTATTGCATTAATCAGGTAATGGGAATACCAGTGAATTTAAAAAAAATTGATTTTCAAGCCTGGAAAAGTCATTTGGGGGAAAAAAGTCTATTTAATAATTAATTACTATAGCTAGCTCTAATTATGCTCAAGTCTAAAATATGTAATGCACTTCTCTGTAAAATTTTGTAATTTATCAAATTTAATCCAATTTAGTTAATTCTTTGGGCGAAAGGTGTTGAACTCCATCTACATGTTGGCGAAATCTTCTACAATTATTTTACATGCAGCTTTTATGATTTCATATTAAATTGAAACACTGCAAAGTAGACTTGTTGATCAATCTACCCATCTGTAGATATATAATATATACAAATTGCTATTATTACTTGATATTGTAATATCAGTCGATATAAATTTATATATATATATATATAATTATTTTTTCTGTTTAAATAGCATGGGAAACATGACTATTATTTTTTTTTTAGCTTTTTCTGCATTAGCATTATATATTTTATATATATATATAATGATGGTTCCTTTGACTTCCTTTTTTTGTATTTAGATTTTATTGTACCGTATTTAAATTTTTATTGCATTATACATTTAAAATTTAAAATGTTTAAATTTTATTTATATAAATCGCAATTTATTACTATATATTTATGGTTACCAAATATTATAAATAAACATGTTGTTCTATTTTTTTGGGAAAAACAGCATGGAAACCTTAAATCATGATTTTGAGTATATGTATGCTAATAAAATATATAAAAATTGCATTGCTATGTAGTGTAATATCAGTCAATATAAATACAAATTATTAGATTGTTAATAATTTTGAAAAACAGCATGGAAAAAAAGCTTTTATTATTTTTAACTAGAATTTTTTTAGATGGTTTTGTACTGTATTGTACAATTTTATTTTTTTTGCATTACACATCTTAAATCAGCAGCTATTTGTTTTGTCAAAACAATAGTTCCTTTGATTTCCTTATTTTTTTGCCCTTTTTTGTACTGTATTTTACTATTTTTACTATTTAATGCATTAAAC